GCATTTTTCAGCTCTAGCAAAAATCTGATGCCAGTAACACAGGACAAAAGATTGATTTATGTGCTACCTCACTGAAGGAGCATTAAACAAATACAATACTCACATTACTGCTGAGGCAATGAGCCAGACTGAACACGCTCTTCCTCCTCAACAGACATTAGTGCGTGCTATATGTACAGTCATAGAAACGGCTGTCATTCCCCAGTCTGGTGTCCCGTTGTTACCGGTTAACTTCTCAACTGTCCACAATGATATGTGATTTTTAACCTCAGCATACGAGTGTGGGTGGGTCTGCCTCTCTCATGAAGGTCATCCCGCTCTAATGAGGTGCATTACTCTTTGGTCACATGACAGGCTTCACAAAAAAGCCATTTTAGCTGATCCAGTTCTTCTGTGAAACTCGTTGTACTACAGCATTGACATCAAGATGTAAAGTGTGCATCCACAGTGTTCAGTAAATAGTAAAAATTTGACTTGTAGGCCTGCCGTGCCTCTGAGATGTATCATGATCATTTAATTGTGAACAGAATATTCTCTCTTTTGTGGCATGTACTTTGACCCTATTCAACAATCATATCTGTCTTCAAGACGAAAAAAATGTAGGGCACATTCACATAATATTTGAGCAATAGTCCTTGACTCTGAAGTCAGTCTTCAGTGGAACTTTGAACACTCATTATAGGACACTTTGCACATTTTACAAAATATTAAACTTCTTTTATTTTCTTTGTGATAGCAGGTAAAATCAAGGTTAACAAATCAAAACATCACAAGCCATTTTGACTTTAAAGCTTATTCAGGCACAGCATACAGTATAAGTGCAGCTTCCTATGGTGTGGCCTACATGTACAACCCCTATTACTGATTAACAGCTTTGGTTAGGCTTTGAACTTGTACCTAAAAAAGAAAGATTTAATATAACTATTACCACATTAAATAAAACCATCCAGCTGTATAGATGGGACCCATGAGAACATGTTCCACAAATATATTAAGCAGCACCAGGCTTTTCAACAATAAGAAATGTTCCTCAAGCACCAGTCACCATCACGGGAATACAGTTATTTTAAATATTTCACAGTATTACTGTTTTTACGAAATGTTTTTTTTTTTTACAGTTATTTTTATGGGCTTTTTATGCCTTTTTATTCAGATAGGACAGTAGAGAGACGACAGGAAATTCCTGGGAAAAGAGAGGGGTCTGCAAAGGACCTCGAGACGGGAATCAAACTCGGGTCAACGTGAGTGCAGCTGCACTATATGTCGATGCACTAACCACAAGGCTATTGGTGCCAACTTTACTAAATGTTTTGATCAAATAAATGCAGCTGTAGTGAGCATAAGTAACTTCTTTCAAAAACAATAAAACCATTAAAAAACTTGTTCTCACTTTGTTTTAAGGTTCAATTTTCACTATTAACAAACCATTAATTACGACTTTTGCCTCAATAAACTCCTAATTTGCTACTTATTAATAGTTATTAAGGTAGGCTAGTTGTTAAGTTTAGGTATTGGGTAGGATTAGGGATGTAGAATATGGTCAATGCAGAATAAATGCTTTATAAGTACTAATAAACAGCCAATATGTTAATAATATACATTTTAATAAGAAACTAGTTCATAGTGAGACTTGATCTCTATACTAAAGTGTTACCAAAAACATTTATGAACTTTGGAAATTGTGTATAAATTAATATAATTTTTTATGATTTTCAGATCATTTCCTTCATTTTTCAATACTGTGAAAATCTTCCCAGTGCTCCACATACAGGAATAGATTGTTTAGTTATGAAATATACAATATACAATGTTTGTTATTGAACTCGCACACAAAAAAATTCACAAACAAAAGTGGTTCCGTTTCTATAAAATATAAATGTATTATTTATATTTATTATTCATTAATAAATCTAAATCTATTACAAGTAATCTGATAACAATGTTTCATATATTATGAAGTGTTACAATCTGTTCTGGTGTTAACCACCTCTATTTATTTCTCTTTTAGTTCAGTCACAATGTGAAGTCATAAGAGTCAGTGTGTGTGTGTGTGTGTGTGTGTGTGTGTGTGTGTGTGTGAGAGAGAGA